CAACGCCCTTAGGCTGCAGCCATCTATCTCCAATGCTGCCCGTCTTCTCTAGAAGTGGCACGATGTGGGCAACTGCCGATGCGATCTGTAAGATAACACTTACCATTAGCATAGCACAGAGGTATTCATGCAGGCCTTAAGGGAATATGGAAATGAGTGGGGTTATTGCAGAGATAGATGACGGAAAGGAATAGCTAGATGGCCTACACTACTAAATTTAATATCTACTTTGACTTTGGCTTCTTAAAGGTGATGCGCTGCAATATGATACACACATATTGCCCGTGTAAGGGGCTCGACCCCGGAGGGTAGTCTTAAGCTCGGGAGCACGATCGGACAGGCCAAGGTAACAAGATTGTATTCGATAGAGAGCTAAGCTCTCGGCTACGTAGCTATCTATATACAATGCTGGTTGCTAGGGTAACAATCAGGCCGGGCAGGTGGAGTAAACGAGGTCGTAGACGAGTATGGGAGGCGAAGGGCGTTCAGCCCGTTACAGCCCGATTCTGAAACCCCTTCTAGCATTCCAAGCAGACGAACTAGTTGCTAGATACACCTCTTCTTTGAAAGGTTGGTGAAGATAATGAACATCTTACTTATTATAGTAAGTACTATTACTTATAAGTAGTTTAAAAAAGTTTAATTAAAAAAATTCAGATTAGTAGTCAGGTGGGTGACCACTGGCGAATCCCTGCTGTTGTATGTTTTTTGATTTTTTTCTGCCATCCGAGCTCCTTTTTTTGCCGTGGTGATGGCGTGTCGGTGTGTTTATTGGCAGCATCATTTAATTTAACATGACGGCATGGTTCCGGCGCCTGCTCATTGTCCGTATCGCAGCTGCAAGGCGGCCAGGGCGACGGCACACAAACAACAAAACAAGGTCGCTATATTTTGAAGCTTGCAGAGCCTAATAGTCTTTGCTGTTGCGGGTCAAGGCGTGCGATGCAGGGAAGAAGATGGTTCCAACGACAGCAGCCCTACATGGGTGGCCGACTTCGGGTGTCTAAACGGCCCTGCTCCGCGCCCCGCTAAATTTACAAAACTGCTGGTGCTGGAGTGACTCGGACGTTGCTTAGTCTAGCGCATGCGTCTGGCCCGACTGGCGGCTTACCTTGGGTTCGCACAAATCATAGAGTCATAGAGCAGTTGCTCTCTACCTCAATTGCACGTTTTCCTCTCACTGGCCAGGTCCGATCAGCATCCGCAAGCTGCTTTCCTATCCCTCGCACCACCGCCACCATGTCTACATTCGGCACACATTTCAGGGTCACCACGTAGGCAGTCGTTTCCCGCACGCTGGGTGCACAAACTGACAAGCAGCAGCTATGGCGAGTCCCACTGCCTCTCTGTCGGCGCCATAATCGACGGATGCCCGCCTGGCATGGCCCTCACCGAGGCGGACATTCAGCCGCAGATGACGCGCCGCCGCCCCGGCCAGTCTGCTATCACGACTCCGCGCAACGAAAAGGACCGCGTGGAGATTCAGTCGGGCACAGAGTTTGGCATCACATTGGGCACACCGATTGGCATAAGGGTCATGAATGAGAACCAGCGCAAGCAGGACTACGGCAACCAGACCATGGACAAGTACCCACGGCCGAGTCATGCCGACTGGACATACCTGGAAAAGTACGGGGTCAAGGCTAGCTCAGGCGGTGGGCGGAGCAGCGCTCGTGAGACGATTGGTAAGCCATTGTATTGTCTGCGCCCGAGACAAAGACACATGGCAGCTAACGCGTGGTAGGGCGAGTGGCCGCTGGCGCAATCGCCGAAAAGTACCTCCGTGAAGCCTTCGGCATCGAGATTGTCGCATTCACAAACTCGATTGGAAACGAGTTCCTCTTCCCTCCCACGGCCGAACACCCCACGGCGTCGACCAACTCAGAGTACCTCAAGCTGATCGATGGCATTACGCGCGAAAAGGTGGACGAGTACCTGCCGGTACGGTGTCCGAGCGACGAGGTCAGCAGGCGCATGGAGGATTTGGTTGCAAAGTACAGAGACGCGCAGGACAGCATTGGCGGCACCGTGACATGTGTCATTAGGAACTGCCCGACAGGGTTGGGGGAGCCATGCTTCGACAAGCTCGAGGCAAAGCTGGCACACGCTATGCTGTCGATTCCAGCAACAAAGGGATTTGAGATTGGCTCTGGCTTTGGCGGCGCACAAGTGCCTGGCTCCATCCACAACGACCCGTTTATCAAAGCCCCGGCAGTTCCAGCAGGCGAGAACCCGTCTGCCAAGGCGTTCCGGTCCAAGCCCAAGCTAACCACCAAGACGAACAACTCGGGCGGTATCCAGGGCGGCATCACCAACGGGGCGCCCATCTACTTCAACGTGGCATTCAAGCCAGCGGCCACGATTGGGCAGGCGCAGTCGACGGTCACATACGACCAGGAGGATGGTGTGCTCGAGGCCAAGGGCCGACACGACCCCTGCGTGGTGCCGCGCGCTGTGCCGATTGTCGAATCCATGGCGGCGCTGGTCATCATGGACGCCGTGCTGGCTCAACAGGCCAGGCAGGGCGCGCGGAGCCTGCTGCCGGCGATCAAGGGCGTGCAGCCGGTGCAGGGAGCTGGGTGTGCGTAGACGGAAGAGGCAGGGTGGGTCGCATGGAAATGGGAGTTTGGGTGTTGCTCTGGGTCTGGGGCTGAGGACGTTTTTAGCCTGTGACGAATAGAAGGCATGTATTAGACTTTGCGTGGCTGTGGATAGCCTCAGGGCGTGCATGCCCCTTGGTTGCGGCCATGTCGCCCGGCGAACACGATCGGGGTCGCTGCATGAAGACGAAGGTGACAGATCCAGCGTCGTGGTACTGACCAGGCCGCATGGGGAGATGGGCCGTGGGCGGGCGAGGGACGTGGTGGGCGTGTTGGAGTGCTAAGGACGAGGCACCAGCACCGCGTATGTGTATGTACACCTACACCTACACCTAGGCGTACCCCATGGCATACCCCGACGTGCTGGGCGGGACAGGCGAGCATTACACGCGCAGGCGCAGGGCGGCAGCGATCAGCTATCGGCCCTTCTTCCACCAACGAAAGGCGCAGAGCCGACTCGCTTGCATCCGCCGCCAGTGTGACGTAGCCGTCGCCGCCCCCTCCTTCTCACGCCTCCCCCCCCCTCCATCACGACGACCGCCCGTCCACATCTTTTCTGGCCCTCCAAACCAACCACCCACCCCACGGCTGCCCAACACCGATGGCACCATGAGCCAAGCAAGCAGGCCAGCAAGCAACGCAGCCTCTGCAGCTCGAGACATCACAGTGGCGAATCTGCTCGGTGTGCCGTGCCGAAACTAGCAGGCGGCAACACTTCACGCGTCTCTCTGACACTGGCACTGGGAGCTGGCACTGGAGCGGGAGCTGGAGCTGGAGCTGGAGCTGGAACTGGAACTGGCGCCGGCAGCGGGCAGGTCGACAGAAAATCTCTGCTCATTCGCGCGCGCTGGAGCTGCCGTCGCCAAATCGTCTCCACCCACCCAGAAAAAAAAGTGCTCCCACCCGCATTGCCTTGCCTGTGAGGCCAGTCGGTTCCGGCATCGCGTCGCTCCCAGCTCCGCGAAAGGGAGCGGCTGCCTGTGGGCTCGGGCTCGGGCTGCACGCAATGCATGGCCGATCAGCTGACGGGCCATGGCATTTTAGGGTCTCGATTCGAATTCCCACTTGGGTCTGACTTTGCCATGTGCTCTGGCCTGTTCGCCTCTCGGCTATTGCCATCTGCTCCCTGTCGTCGCCCGTCTAGACATGCTGCTAGCCTCATCCATCTCTCTTTGTTGCGGCTGGTGCTCGAGATCCTTGTCGCCACCCTTCTCCAATTCCACATGCTGTGTATCTACTCCACCCGCGTGTAGCTAACACACGCCCGTTGAACATCGCCACGGGCTCCGAACGTCACTACGACCTAATTCGTCCTCGCCTTGTTCTAGCCCGGCACTTGCTGATCTCCCGTACTACCTCTTCAGTCCCAGTCCGGCCCTGGAAGAGAATGTCATAACCAGAACGCCCTCGGAGCCTGCGCGGACTGTCCCCCATCACGATCGCTGGTCAACAATGGCTCGTGGTGCTGCTGCTCCTGTTGCTGCCACCCAATCCTCCAACAGAGACGATCAGGACACCTCGCTTCCCCAGGACGCAAAGGCGAGTAAGCGGCGTTGTGTGCAATCTGCCTGTGTGCCATGTCGTAAACGCAAGTCCAAGGTAAGTACCTTCTCGGTACACGACCGCGTAACGGAAATCATGTACATGGTCTGATTCGAAGAGATTCGCCTCCGCGGACTGCTCCTCGCATTGTACCATTCCCAAGAGCTTGTTCCAGGGCGCCTGTCCCATTGACTTTTCCCGAGACCTATGGCCTGATCCCTTGCTGACGCCGACCTACAGTGCGACGGCAGCACGCCCGTATGCGCCACCTGTACTGCCGTCTACAAGACGGAATGTTTCTACGACGCGGAGAGCGAGAGCCGGCGTACCAAGGGGGGCCATGCCAGTACCACCAATGTTGGCACCAAGCGCGATGCTTCGTCGATAGCTACCCTCGCCCCTGAACCCACATCCAACGCCGATTTCATCGTCAACTCGCTAAGAAGATTGCCCGAGGAACACGTCAACGAGCTTATCCAGCACATTCGCAGCAACCCTAACCTCGACACCGCCGGCTTGGCAGAAACATGGCGCAAAAACGTAACCCTGAACCCCAGTACGCCCGTCGAGGGCCAGAGCCTCGAGTCCGATCTAAGTGTACTCCTCGGAAAGCCGGCAGTAACACTCACCGGCCAAAGTCGACATTTTGGGCACTCGGCCAGCTTGGCTCTAGTCCCTGAAGAAGCGAACTTCAGCGGCGTTTGGCCGCGTATGACCAGCGTGAAGCCAGAGCGCCAGGGATCAACATGGACAAACGTGACCGACGACATGGCCTTTGTCGAGAGGCTACTTGACCTCTACTTTACATGGAGCCATCCCTTCTACGTTCTCTTCAGCCGCGAATGCTTTTACAAGGACTTTAGAGCTGGTCGCGACAAGTATTGCTGCTCCCTCCTTGTTAATGCCATATGTGCATACGCCTGCCATCTCACAGATGAACCTGCGGGCCGTACAGACCCGTCCAACTTCCGCACAGCGGGCGATCACTTCTTCGCCGAGGCCAGGCGATTACTCTTCGAGGATGAAACCCCGAGTCTTACAACAGTCCAGGCGCTCTGCATCATGTCGATGCGTGAGCCGAGTACAGGGCGAGAGAGCTCTGGATTTGGCTACATGGGACGATGCATGCGCATGTGTGTCGAACTTGGCCTACATCTAGACTATGGTGCCAGCGCCACACTTGGACTGACACCAAGCGAAGTCGAGGTTCGGAAAGTCACCTTCTGGGGCTGCTTTACCGTAGAGAAGTAGGTACCACCACGTGTTTCATGACGCCTTTAGTTAACACGACACAGTGTCTGGACCGTCACTACTGGAAGAATCTCCCAGCTTCCCCGCGCCGCAATTACTCTCCAGAAACCCATACTCGAAGAAGCTCCCGGTATTCCAGAGGCATTGTCTGGCACCCCGCACGCCAATACTGGTATTGTAACTACCCGCATGTTTCTGCAGGAGTTCACATCACTTTCCGAGCTGGTCAATGACAATAACCACATGTTCTTTGCCCCAAAAGAGCGACTTACCAGCAACAAACTCCTCGGTTGTTACAATAGATACAAAGCCTGGTACAGAAAGTTGCCCTCTTCATTGGGAATTGATGGCAAGAAAGAGCCTGAACCACACATTTTGGTGCTACAGTATGTTGAACCACCCTCTTTTCTACTAATGCCAAAAAAAACTGATTAGTACTTAGTATGTTCTACTGGACCATAATTGTTCACCTCTTCCGACCGCTGCTTAAAGTCGAGCTCATCCACTCCGACGTACGCCCGCGCGACATCTGCGTTGAAGCAGCCAACAACGTATCGAGAATTGTTAGGTTCTACCGAAAGTTTTACGATTTTCGACAAGCGCATCTGATCATACCACACATCTTGCTCACCGTCTGTGTGTTGCACTTGCTCTATTCCAAGGAAAACCCGGTATCTCGCCAAAACCTTGTTGAAGGACTACAGGGTCTTGAGGACCTCCACGAATGCCATTACTTTGGAGCAAGAAGCTTTCGGATCATATACGCCTTGTCCAAGACTTGGAACTTGCCATTTCCAGAAGAGCTCAGCAATTCAAAGCTGATACCGAAGAACGATCCAGAAAATCCCCATGGTCGAATGAGTCCCCCAGGAGAGCCCCTTTTGATGGTTCCAAGCTCTCAGACGATTACTGGTAATCGCATAGGGCCTGGAGCCATCCATCCGCCTCAGCCTCAACGGCGAGAGAGTTTGTCCATGTTTGCATCTCAAAACATGATGCAGTTGGCTTCACACCCTGCCAACTCGAGAGCAAGCAGCGTCGTCTCTAGCCAACGCCACTCGTCGCCTGCCGTAAGGCACGAAACCGTTCAGGGCGGTTACAATAACAACATGTCGCTTCCTTACCAGTATACACCTCCTCTATCGTCAGCAACCAACATGCCCACAACAATAGCCTCATCTACGGTAGACACTGCAGAAACCATGTTCTGGACCCGTAAGTGAATTCCCCAAGTGTTAGTTTGTACACTTCCTGACGCCATATGCTAGCAATGCCCGGTATTCCTGGTCCTATACTCCCACGACACAACTACCAACAGATGAGCCCCATGGGCCTCGAAAGCGTCCTGCACAATACCGACATAGGCGACCGCCTTGGACGCGACGGTTTCCGAATCAACGAAGACTGGCGCTCCAGCCACGTCAATGGCTTCGCCACGGGTGTTGGAGCAAATGTGTATCCTCAGACCAACCCCCAACACAATGACACGTATGCGCACCGACCAAGTTTTGCCGCACAGTCGGCATACCCGCCGGACCCGCACCATGGACACCATGGACAAGACGGGTACGACGCTGGGTGGTGGCAGGGCCCGCACGAATCTTCGGAACACATGAGCTGACAGAGGTCGAGGGCTGAGCTCAAGGGTCAACACCAAGACTTGACTGCGTGTTCTGCGTTTGAATTGCATGCATAACCCGATCAGACAGGGCTGGGCTCTGTAGAAACGTTATTGCAGGACGGGGTGGAGCGGGGCAGGAAACGATGAAACGTTGGTGACGGCGCAAACTTAGCATGCTATTACGCCATGATGCTTGATATGTAGAACGGGGGTGATTAATTGGTTGGGTTGGGTGGATGGTCTGGGCTTGGATTTACAACGCCTCGCCTTTGGGGGGTTTCGGTTTTTATAATTGTGCTCTGGCGGGGGTTTGGGAATGGCGGCTGTGGTAGTGGTGGTGGTGGGGTATGTATGTGTATGTGCATTGTACATGTGACTTGTTTCTCGATTGCTAAAAACGGCCATGCAATACATGTACGTACGTACGTACGCATGTATGTATGTATCTAGTGAACGAGTCTTGAACATACACACATATATATATACATACACAGATAGAAAGAGACGTACGCATATAATACTATATACCTTGTCGTAATTCCGCTCCTAATTTCCCTTGCATTCTTTGTTTCCCGTCTTCCCCTTTCTTTGCCTATTCCCTCATCCCCGCTCTGCCAACCCCTATCCCCTTGTCACGATCCATTCGTACCAGACTTACTATCTATCTATGTATTTTGTGTGCTTGAATTCCAAGACGGCACCGCTCGAGTTCATTTCAAGTTGAGAGATGCGCGTATAAATGGTACATACAGTATATAAAATACAGACAGCCAAACAGCCAAACAGGGCCAATATCCAAATTACTCAAAAAAACACAAAGTTAAACCCAGACTGATTTGAGTTGATGTGTTTTTTTTTTCCCTTCTCACACGCATACTTGCCAATTACGACGATGAAGCAATGGAGAAGAGGAGGAGGAGGAGGAGGAAGTAGTCTAAATAGAGAAAGAAAAAAATCCCCCGGCTTACTGTAGTTAATCAAGAATATGTAAATGGCAAGAAAAGAAGAAAAAAAAAAGGACACACATATATACATGCATATACACATGCACATACACATGCACACATGCACATAGGGCACGTAGACACAAAAGCATTAAACAGAAAGAAAGAGAGAGCATAGACACAGACACATGCAGAAACACTGAGAGAGAGAGAGACATTATCAAATAATTAGCCTACTGTATAATTACAAAGAAAATAAAAATCTCAGCACCCCATCTCAGCGGGCCCTAAAAACCAAAGCAACAAGAGAACAAGACTCGACATTGAAAACATGTATATATCCGCTACTAGGAAATTAAAAAGGAAAAAGAAAAAGAAAAAGTCTCAAGAACCACTACTCTTTTGCTTGGCCGCTTGAATCAGCACACTCGCCGTACCCGCACGCTCCTCGTACAAGCGCCTCAAGTGCTCGACCGACTGCTTCTTCATGGTGACTTTGGTTGGTTTGAGGGCGCGACCCCTCGCGACGCCGCCGTGGCTGTCGTCACCATCGTCTTTCTTGGCGGGGTCCTTTGCGAAATTCTCAAAACTAGGCATGCGTTGCATGAGGCTTGGGCTGGGGGTGCGGAGACGGGGCGCGGCAGAAGGGACGGGAAGGGTGGACGCTCTGTGCGGCGAGGGCTGGCTTATAATGGGGACTTGCGGGGTTGTTGGAAAGACGGGGCGTGCGAGGGAGTTGATGCTTGGACTACGACTGACTTTGGAGGGTGTTGCGGAAAAAGGGACGCTTGGGCGGCGGGACACGAATGCTGGTGCTGACACGGCACTCTGGGGTGATGCCACCTGAGGCGAGGTTGCCATCTCGCTCTTCACAGATGTGCTTGTTGGAGACAGGCCACCCTTGATGCCTGTGTTGTTAGCATTGCTATAGTTACCCGTAAGCCCGGGAAGCGCCATGCCACCCACGGGCTGTGCTCGGTTTGCTTCGTTTTGTGCGACGACGGCCTTATCGACGTTGTCAATCTGCGTCGCAGTCAGGGTCTTCCTCTTAGGAATATTGAATTGAGACACTGGAGAAGAAGCAGTAGTGGAAACTTGTGAGCGCGTATCTTGTTCCGCGCGTGTAGGAGCGGACATGGGAAGAACTGGGATTGGATTGCTCATACCAGACTTCTTCTCATCTGATTGGGCATCCCGTCTGGGTGGGAGCTGCGGGGGCTGTTCGGAGCTGCTGTCGTTATTACGGAATGGCGCGAAGCCGTCGGTGGTGGCGGCAAGGGTGATGGGCGACTCGCCAGCATCTGTAGCGGCGTCTGATATGACAGTCGAGTAGCGTGGGGGGACGGTGAGTGGCGGCGCTGGCTTTCGGTGAACCGAGTCGATGGAAGATTTGGTAGAGGGTGCGCGAGACCGCGGCGGGAGCGGAGGTGGCTGCTCCTCTTTTTGACCTTGTCGGGGGTCATGCAAAGAGGGCGCTTTTTCGTTATCGACAAGTGTGATGCCCTTTATTTGTTCTTCCATGAATCCGCTGCTGTCTTCCGAGTCTCTTGAGTTGTCTACTGGATCCTCCCAATCGTTTTGGTTCTTAGGTAGCTTCAGTTCTGCGTAAAAGACCTCTTCTGTCTGACCACATGCTTCTCTAAGTCCGTCAGTCCACATGTCGATTGCTTGACCAAAGATTCTTCTGATGATGGAAGACATCTTTGCATCTTCAAGCTGATCAGGTCCACAAAGCAAACCCGGGGCGAAGCAGACGGCCAAGTTCTCGGCGCTCATTTTGTTTTCTGCTTGTCGTGCAGCTACCGCGCTCAGGAGGGGTAGTAGGTGTCTGCAGAGAATTTCACGAGACAGACCAGGCAATAGCGACCATTCAGATTTTGGAGAGAAAAGGTCAACCAGCTTGTCGAGCTCAAAGATGTCCTGGCTGTTTCCATACAGTCGGCGCAGGTCCCGGTAGGACTCGGTAGGGAAGATTGGTTGCCGCAAGGAAGCATACCAGGCCTTGATGAGTGTGGCGGCCATGTAGACCGAGTATGCGTCGGTAGGGATTAGCTCAGCGAGTATCTCGTCCTGGTGCTCGGCCTGGGGGTAGGGGGGTACTGGCAACATGGTGTCGTTGTCCTTCCAGATGATGTACTTCTGGCCCCTATCGTATGCTTCTTTCAGCGAGTCGCGCAGTCTCGAGTGTGGAGGCACCCGAAACAAGCCTTCTGACGTGATGTTCTCTTCCATGAGGATGAAGCTGGTCGTCTCCCTGAGAACACGGGGGAAACGGGTCTTGCCATTGCTGGCAGCAGGGAATGGAGTGCGGGTTCCAAAGGCTCGTCTCCCGGGGCCATTGAATGCGGCAATGTTTTCAGACACACGACGGTCGGCGAGATAGGTTGAAGGGGGGATAAGGAGGTCTTCAATGGGGATTTCGCGGGCAAGCTGGGTCAAGCTGGACACTGCAGTGGGTCAGTAGAGCCACAAGGAGCTGGCAGGGGAGGGCGCACAGTGATAGATCTTCCTCCTGAACTTGGGGCTAACAATCGTGGAGAAGATTTCCGTCAAGATCCTCACCCATGCCTTCTCGTGGACAATGTACAGGCGCTGGAGTCTCTTGCGCATGGCCCTGGAGAGGACGTGGTAGGCCTGCAGGAACCAGCCCCAGCCGGGCCTGTGCTTCTTGCTGGTTGCGGAGCCATCGCCGTCGCCAGCAAAGAAGACGACCTCATACTCGTAGCCCTTGAGCAGCTCGTCCTCCTCGGGCAGGCGGGCGAGGACATAGGGCAGCAGCAGGTCGTAGTCGGCGTCGTGGGAGTCGGGGAGGGCGGCGGCGTTGAGGATGAAGACGGGCCTCCCCTCGGGCGAGGGCAGCGGCGAGCGGTAGAGTATGGAAGAGGCAATCTTGGCCAGATCGCGCGAGTAGTTTGAGCTGTGCTGGGGAGGGGGGACGGCGGACAGGGAGGTGCTGCGGAGCCTGCTGGCGAGGTGAGCACGCACGCCGCTCATGGCGAGGGATGTGGGAGAGAGGGCGGGGGTTGGGGTTTCGGCGGCGAAGACGATGACAGCGGCGGCAGCGGTCGTGGTGGTGGGTTGTGCCTGGGGGCGGCGATGGCAGAGGCGATGCTGGATGCCAGCACGTGCAGACACACGGCCTATGCGGGCAATGGGCTGCCACAGGCACAGGCAAACCTTGGGTCTTGGGTACGTCACAATCACAATTGGGGGAGCGACAGCATGACAGGGTCTCCCTCAGCTGCCTTGGTGTTAGCGCTCACCCGCACGGACGTGGCTGGTGCGGTGCGGGTGCGGGAGCTGATTTGGCGGTGCTGGGCCTGCTGCTAATGCTGCCACCGTATTACTGCCACTGCCACTGCCACCACTCACTACTGCCACTCCGCATCCCCCGTCACTCGCTGCCACGCCGCCACATGCCAGATGCCAGACGCCCTGCTGAGGCTGGCCAGAGTGGGGGGCCGCCCCAGCCCCGCCTTGCAGGGGGCGCGTGGGCAATGCGGTAGCCATCATGGGCGCTCATGCAATGTCGCTCACGGCCAGCCGCAGCCTCACGGCACCACTTTCGCCCGTGGCCGCTGTATTTATATGTGTATTGTCAGCTTATGCCATGCACTCCGTACCGCACATGCACTGGATCGCCGCTATTCATCCGTCTCAGACCCCGTCCCCACCTCCCGCCCGCCCGCCTGTTCGTCAAACACGACCTGCACTCCGGCCTGCTGAAGCATCGCGCGTATGAACTGGAACCGCTCGGTGCGGCTCCGGAACTCCTCGACGCTGCTGTTCGCCTCCTCCAGCGCCTCTATCAGGTTCTGCTCCGTCAGCCCCCGCTGCATCAGCCGCTCGATTCCCACCCTCTCAAAGTATTCCCGTTGCTGCTCCAAATCCACTAATAGCAGCTGCTGTGCTTCTGCGTCGGGTGGCCGCCTTGTGTGAGTGCCGCTTGCTGAAGCCTCATACGACTCCAAGTTGTCGTCGGGTGGCAGTGGGTCGGACACTGACGTGTACTTTGATTTGATCCGCACATCGAGAAGCGACATGAGCGCTTGGTTGTCCGACAAGATGACGTGCCTCGCGATATCATTCTCTGCTATCTGCGCGAGCCAGTACGGGTCTTCGCCTGCACCCAGTTCCTCGTCGAATGCATAACACATCTCGACCAGCAGAGTGGTGCCTTCTGTCGTGTTCCACAAGTCTTTTGCCTTGGGCACATACATCTGACAGAGCAGCTCCTGGTAATCGTTGTTGGGTTCCTTGCCCCACACTGTTTTTGGTATTGGCGAAATGTCCAGCTCCTTGCACAGTCTCGCTGCTATCCACGGGTACTCTTTGATGGCGTTGCGAAGCGCCGAGCGAGCCTTCTGCGGCTCCTTCATGCGATCGTGAGCGAGCGCAACACTGTAAGCGAGATTTGGCGGGATCTTCCACTGCCGCTGCAGATAATCCGATTCAACAATGTGAACCAGTCCTTCGGGCTCGCGACCTCTCAAAGCCAGCTGGTCAACGAGGAGTCGGAGACAGTAGGGATCTTGCTCGGGGTCCATGGCGAGTAGCAGCTTGGCCCATTCAAATGACGTCCGCCATGTCGCGCGAGTACTCAATGCTCCCAGATAGCGCCATACCGCAAGCCAGAACTCGCGGTTCTCTGGACGGCGAAAGTCCAGGCGCGCTTTTCCAGCAGCGAGGTTAGCAGCAAAGGTCGAGTGCACAGAGCGACCAAAGGTAAACAGCGCACGCTCTAGCATGTCGGACGCAGCGGCATTCTCGCGTTGTTGCTTCGCAATCTCAGAGACCTGCAGCAGTGTCGAGATGTGGAATGCTGGAGGCAGGGTCAATGTTGTGTATGCTCAGAATAGTGGGTCACCTTACGATTGTGCTGGAGGAGTGAAATCATGCGTTCAGGATCCATGCTTGCCACACATACTTGGAACTGCCGCTGGACGTCTTGATACGTGCGATTATGCACAAACTTGTACTCAACGGTGCCGTCGGCGCGCTTCTCGACAATTTCCATCCCGAGCCCGCCAGATGTAGCACGCGGCCACTCTTCCTTGCCCTGAATGAAGATATTCCTACGAAGACCCAGGGAGGCAAGATTTCGGCCACCAGGAGCATGGCGTCCTGCAATTGCGGCCGCAATGCCCCCTTGGTGACCCCGCTGTCGAGGGCGCCCTTCGTCCTCGACATTTTGCAGCGCAGCTCGGCCAAAGAGTTTCTTCATCTCGTTGGCCGAGTGCAGGTGTTGCGTGTCGACGCTCAGCGCCGAAAACAACTGCTTCTTCTCCTCGCTGACTGCCGCACCTTGTTGGTCCGACTCGGCGCCGGCCTGGCCGTTGGCAGTCAAACTGAGTGCAAGCAATGCCTGGTCGATTTCATCCAAATCTGAGCGACTCTTGGTGCGAGTATCACTCGCGACTGTCGCCGCAGCCTTGCCCTTTGATTTTGCTTTCTTTTTCTTTTTCTTGCTCTTCTTGGATGGCTTTGGGGCGGGCGCTGCTTTGTCGTCAGAGCCGCCGGCATCAGCTTCAGTCTCACGCTCTGCATCTTCATCGTCGTCGTCGTCGTCGTCGCCCCCCTCCTCATCGTCGCCACCGTCACCTAGCATGGCAAACAGGCTCGGTTTCGCGGCCGTCTTTAGTGCCACCTCGGGCTCTGACTCGTCCTCATCCTGGCTATCCTGGGCTAGCCGCTCGCGAATTTGCTTCTCTTCAAGTTCCCGCTGGGCTCGCCGCAGCGCTCGCGAAGACATGTCGGCGGTCGGAAAATTGTGTGGCAGAGGCTGAATATGATGACGTACGCGGATAGGGTGGTTTGAGTGTTAGTCGCCTTTGTGATGCGGGTAGGGCGTGATTGGATCCACGGCTAAGCGCTTGGACTAAGCGTTCGTCTCGGGGCTGCACCATGATTTCACTGCCTGCGCGGGCGGCGTGTCGTTGCTGCCAACCTCACCCTTCGAAATATCCATCCCGTCACTCCACTTGCCAGATGCGGGCTGCATTCCAAGTGCTTCGCTCTGCACGTCGCCCGTGCCTGCGGAAGCTCCCTCGCACCCGCGGCAGCGTCCTCGTGCCAAGCAATGGCCTAATCAGCCGGGCTCACTCCCACTTGCGGCTGCGTGCCTCTCCTCCCGTCCTCACTTCGTCCATGCAATACCGAGCACTGACAGGTGCGCTGGTGGCTGCCGCCGTCGCCTCTGGTGCCTTCTATGCCATCAACGGCAACCGGTCGACGAACCACTCGCATTCCCCCGCGGACCAGGCCAAGAACCTCACGAGCGCCATAGGCAGTGAGCAGACCAGAAAGGCGCTTGTCGTGGGCCCTGGAGAGCTATACACGGGCACCATTACGGGCACAGCCCCCATCTCCAAAGAGACGGATGACTACGGCAGAAAGGTGCTGGAGATGCTGGACCCAGAGCAAGCCACAGCCAAGCTGAGGAAGAACGAGGAGTCGTGGCTGGTGGGAAGGGGACAGGGGGTGGTGCGATACGACGTTGTGCAGATACCCAGCAACGACCCCATTGAAGACGACCATGCGGAGAAGATTATTGAAGTCCCGTCCAATCTGGCGGCTACCGACAACGGCGCGCCTGCCAGCGACTGGATGTTCTGGGGCGTATTCGACGGTCACAGGTATGTCGAGAGCCAGATGGCATAGTTGTTTACTACTAACTGATACAGTGGCTGGGTTACGTCTGCCAAACTCCGTCAAACGCTCATCTCTTACGTCGCGCGCGAGCTGAACACGACATACAAAGCCGCTCTCGAAGACCCATCACTACATTTTCCCAACCCGGACGCCATCGACCGAGCAATCAAGACTGGCTTCACCAAGCTGGACAACGAGATTGTGCACGAGTCTGTCAAGAAGGTGCGCAAGGCCCAGTCCAAGGTGGCCGCCGCTGAGCTGCTTGCACCCGCGCTATCTGGCTCGTGCGCTCTTCTTTCCTTCTACGACAGCCGTTCGAAGCTCCTGCGAGTGGCGTGCACTGGAGACTCGCGCGCGATTCTCGGCCGACGTGGTGCCAATGGCAAATGGACCGCAACCCCGCTATCCGAAGATCAGACGGGTGGAACTACCAGCGAAGCAGAGCGGTTGCGCAGGGAGCATCCTGGCGAACCCAACGTAGTCCGAAATGGCCGCATTCTCGGCGGACTGGAACCATCTCGTGCTTTTGGCGACGCATACTACAAATGGTCGCTCGAGACCAACGCCGAGTTGAAAAAGTCGTATTTCGCACGAACACCTTCGGCACTACTCAAGACACCTCCCTATGTTACTGCTGAGCCCGTCATCACCACAACCAAGGTGGAGCCGGAAAAGGGCGACTTTGTCGTCATGGCTACGGACGGCTTGTGGGAAATGCTGACCAATGAGGAGGTTGTTGGTCTGGTGGGCCAGTGGCTCGATGCTCAGGGCAACCCAGGTGGCCAAGGGTCGCAAACGCAATCATGGCTCAAGAGTTGGTGGTCTAGCCAGCAGCTCCCAGTCGAGCAGGCAGCAGGTGAAAAGGGAGAGGGCCAGCGGGCGCCCATCCGTCAGCAGCAGTGGGGCACCAAGACGAGCCTCAACGAGCGGTTCGTGGTGGAAGACAAGAATGCAGCTACCCATCTTGTGCGCAACGCGCTGGGAGGAAAGGACCAAGATCAACTGAGTGCTCTGCTCACGCTGCCGAGTCCGTTTTCTCGGCGGTACCGGGACGACTTGACGGTAGAAGTCATCTTCTTTGGCGAAGGGGCCAGCACGGGCAACGTGACTCGAAACCAAGAGGCGAGCGCTGCAGAGCCTGAGGTCAAGTCCAAGCCGTAGGGCATCTGGGTGTCTGTTTTGTGGTTTTTGGGCATGGGGTTGCGCTTGGCCATGACTCGGCTCTTGATAGCCTAGCATATATCGCGGCGTTGATGGGCTTTCTGTGGGCACGGCGTTTGGTACAACGAAAGACAAACACGGCGGAATCTGTATTTGGAGGGCAGCATAGGGTAGTTTTAGCATTTTGGCCGAAGCCAATGAATTCTTGTGAAGCATAGGCCCCACTGTTTGAAGCGTAGCGGCATGGCTGGGTTCCGTCAAGTCCGCATGATGTCATGGTTGCGGGAGCGGGTGCAGAATCATCAGGAGACTTGACGACAAGTATTAAAAGCCACGGGAGGCGTCGGCGCCCTAGGGTGACAGGTGTCAAACAACTAGACATTGCCAAGTGCTAAGCAGCAATGGCCGAATCGCTAGCAGCCTTCCGCGAGCGCCGCTCCAAAGACCTGCAGCAACTGGCAGAGGAGCACATGCAGCATGAGTAAGTCGCGCGGGCCTTGGAGCCAGAGCTGGCGAGGCAATGGAGATGACTGACGCTTGGTAGCCTCAACGAGCAAGATCGCGAAATCCTCAAGACAGCAGCGGGCAAGGTGTCTCGGCACGCGGGCTTCGCGTCGGCACTGGGGCTGGGACTGGGCATCTACACGGCGTTCCGTCTGCGGGCGATGCGGCTCGCCTACTTCAAGGCGTTCCGGGCCATGGAGAAGCCAGTAGAGGTGCGCTTCGCAGACGGCCGCACCGAGCCCATCCCCGACATGACGGCGCAGATGCGCGGACCGTCGCGATGGGGCGACGCAGCGGCCTTCTTCTTCTTCTCGGTCGGCGGCCTGTTCCTGGGCGGCGAGCTGGGCCTGCTGACGGGGACGGCGAGCGCATCGCGGGTGGTTACCAGGGACGCGGAGAGCAGGCAGCGCATCGAGAAGGCGTTCAAGAACTACCGCATCGACGTGCTGCAGCGCGAGATTGAGGCGCTGAGGGGCAAGAGCCGGTTTGAGGACTTCTTCAGCAGCGGGGGGTCGAATGCGTGAGGCTGAGTTGTGAGTGTGCATGTATGTGTGGATAGGATGGGGGAATACATAAACATGGGCATTACGCGTGTATATTGCCGGATTGAGCGTGCATGTGGACATGTTGAGCGCCCTAGCCACCATACAGACAAGCACAAGCCCCGAGTACAGCACAGCCACACATCACGACATGCCACTGACTCGCTACACTATGCCGCGCCGCCCGTTGGACCTTTGGCGGTGCTTCTGGAGCGCCTGGAATTCCTCGTCTACTATATTCTAATGTTTCTACAAGCCAACCATGCTGCGCCGGGCACACTCGCAGGCTGGCCATGACGTGTCGCCAGAGCCAGCCACCGCCGTCTCTTGCAGATCACCGAGTCGCCCAAGGCGAAGCGATAGGCCGGCATTGCACTACGACGTCACCCGCACGCTTTCACGCCCAGCAGTGCCCAGCTTTCCACCCGTGGCCCGTCCGCGCGCTTGCAAAACAATCGATGCGTCCAGCGCCTCATCTGCCTCGACGGCCCCCCTTGATTCCACCTTCTCGTCTTTTGCTAGTCTTCGTCCTGCCTAACCCACTTCTCCCCATTCCCCATTCCCCATTCCCCATTCCCCATCCTCCATCCTCCCTCGTTTGGAAGCGGGCCTCCTTTGCCACTTTACACCACCCTAATCTAGGCCCTCGCCCTGGCCACACCCTGCACACTGGTGAAACACGGCTGCGCTGCAACACATCCATTCGCCAATCCGCCCTTTTCGTTTTTCCCTTCTTCACTACTGAACTGATACCGATCCCGTCTGCTGTAATAGCCTTTACACTCGCTCGAGAGCACTTTGTTTAGCCACATCTGGAGAGCGTCCTACCCCTGTGGCGATCATGAAAGGAGCTGTTGTCTCGCTGCTGTGGCTAGCGGGTCTTGCTGCAGCCCAAAGTAGCTCCCCATCACCATCCGTCGTCACATTGTCGGGTTCCCAACGGAGTCTTACCGGCGACGACCTTGCGCCCAATCCAACGGTGCCCTCGGACTTTGAAGGCAGCACCTTTGCGACCGTCACCTCGCCTGTCTCGGCCTCGTCGGGCCAGACCCGCTCGTCCAATGGCACCACAACCAGCGGCCAGCCCATCACCAACATCGGAAATGGAAACAGGACCATGACACCAACTGGCAGTGGCACAGCGCCTCCCCTGCCATCCAACACGCAGCCGTGCAACAACTATCTCGAGTTCTGCAACCGCAAGTACTCCAACATCACCGAGGTCTGCGCCCACAACTCGCCCTACACGCGCAAGAACAACATTGCGCGCAACCAACAATACTCGGTCAAGCAGCAACTCGACGACGGAATCCGCATGCTGCAGGGCTCAGCCCACTATGTCAATGGCACCTTGTACTACTGCCATTCCTCGTGCGACCTGCTCAACGCCGGCACAGTCGAGGACTACCTCCGCCAAGTCACTGAATGGGTAGAGGCCCACCCGTTTGACGTCGTCACCATTCTCTTTGGAAACTCGGACTGGGACAAGAAAACCGCAGACGGCAAGCCCCTCGTTACGTCGGTCAACTTTGCAGAGCCCATTGAAGCCTCGGGCCTTCGCAAGTACATCTACCAACCGCCCAAGACTGCCATGGAGCTCAACGACTGGCCCACGCTCGGCGAGCTGATCCTCAACAACGACCGCGTCATCACCTTTATCGACTACAACTACGACACAGACGCCGTGCCGTACATCCTCTGGGAGTTCTTCAACATGTGGGAAACGAAATTCTCGCCCACCGACATCGCCTTCCCCTGCAACCTCGGCCGCCCGGAGGGCATGTCGGAGCAAAAGATGCGCGAAATCCTCTACATGGCCAACCACAACCTCAACGCCGAAATTTCGTTTGCCGGCCTCAACCTCCTCGTTCCCAACGTCGCCCGCATCAAGCAAACAAACGGCCTCGAGGGAGAAGGCAGTCTGGGTCTCATGGCCAACACGTGCACTAGTAAGTTTTTGCACTACACTATTCTACCAACTAGCTAATGTTGATTTTTTTCTTTCAAAAAGATGACTGGGGCCGTCCTCCAAACTTCCTCCTCGTCGACTTTTACAACGAGGGCCCTACAAACGGCTCCGTCTTTGAAGTCGCTGCCCGCGCCAACAACGTCACGTACACCCGCAAGTGCTGCGGTACCACGTCGATTGCTAGCTTCCCTTTGCTTCCTACATACGCTACTACCATCATGGCTGCTGCTCTCATTGCCCTTTTCGCTTTGTAACATTAAACATTACACACATGTTTGTCAAATCTCCCTCCCTCCCTCCCTTTTTTTTTGGGGGGGGGGGGGGGGCGTCTTGCATATGCCACGTGCAGTCTTTTGTTCGCTCTGTATTACATACATACACGAGTTTCGAGTTTGAAAAATGGCTAGAATCATATGATGAAAAGAGCGAGAGAGAGAGAGAGAGGAAAGAGAACATGTTATTTGTCAATAAGAATATAGAAGAAGAAGAAGAAGAAATTATGGCCTCTTTTGGTTTGTTTGTTTCGGTGTTTTTTTGGGCGGCATAGCTAGGGCGTTCTCTCTTCTTCTCTTCTCTTTTTCTTTCTTTTCTTTTTTTTCTTTTTGCGCCTGGCTTAGATAGACAAGGGGAAGCATACATGGTACATGTATCATATATCATATATCACATATGTAAAGAATACTACTCATGATCGTGTCTTTTTCTGCTTACGTACTTGGTTTCTCTGCTTTCCCCCCTTTCTCCTTTTGCTTTTCTCCTCAAGTATAGCGTTTTTATTCCACTCTACTCTTCTCTTCTCTTCTCTTCTCTTTCATTTTCCTTGTATTTTCCTTCATCATCATCTTCATCTTCACACTGTGCGTCTTGCGTTTTGAGGCTTGTGGTTTGGATTTGACGCTTTATATATATATATATATATATATATATATATACACGCATGCATGTATGCATGTATGCACAGGTGGAAAAGAGAGAGGGAGAAAGAGAGAAAGAAAGAAGTTCAAACTTGGCACATTCTCGGTCTTATTATTCCATCTTATTACTTTCCTTTTCCAATGTCTTACTTTCCAACTATGTAGTACCAAATGTCCTTAGATCCTTACTCATTCTTATCTTTTTTCAACCTTTCAACCTTTTTGCCCCCACTTGAATTCAAATTATACAACGCTGGCTTTTACGTTTTTTTTGGAGGTACTTAAGATTTTAATTTCGTAGAGGCGATTTCGGGGTGCGCTGGGGGTGTGCTGAGGAATACGTTGGGAAATACGCTGGGGAATACGTTAGGGGGAGAGGGGGGGGAGTCAGGTAATGTCACAGCTACAGCTAAGAAGCTACAGATATAGTTCACATGTTAAAGGCTTGAATGTCATAGCTAGCTAGGCTGCATCCAGAGCGTGATTGGAGAGAAAAAAAAAGTTGGGAGATGTTTCTTTCGGAAGAGTATGGATGCATGTAGGCATGCACACGCGAGAGAACATATGTAAGGGATGGAAGCGAGAGAGGGAGGAGTGGTAAAAATGTGTAGATAGGTAGGATAATTCTCATCAGCTCGATCCATCGCATTTATAAATGATTTTTTTGGGGGTCAATCGACCTAAGCTACATGCGTGTATAGATGTAGACTAGGATAACTCTAATTGTATGTATATGCGTGGGGTGGAGGGAGAGAATCACGAGTACGCCACCCGCTTTTCTCGTCCTCTTTTCCCCGCCTCTTCTCTCTGTTTCCGTTCCCGTTTCCTCCCTTTACGCCCGCCTCCACCACTAGTACTAATACTGCCGCTACTACTATTGCCGCCTACCGTGGGTATCTTACAAGGCGAAACAGCAAAGAAAAATCGAAGAAAAGAAAGACGCCGAGGAAATGCAATGTATATGTACAAAGAAAAAACCCGTGGTATCGTGCGTAGTAAAGGCAAACAAATAACCATCCCATGACCCAACCCAGCCCTGATTCAGAAAAGAGATAGAGAAAAAGAAAAGTCTGATAAATAAGGAAAGCGCAAATGAACCAAGAAAAAAAAAGAGAGACATCACCTCCCAGTCAAACAACTACTACTACCCGTCAAACTGCGCGAAATCACTGGCTCAATGGCCAAGCTATCGCTTCGAGGCGCAAGACCCTCGGGCCAACTTCTACGCTCTCTATGCTCTACCGGAGGTGAATCCGGGGGTTTCCCATAAGTCTTTGTCAGACTAAGCCTCTTCTTGGCTTTGCGCCAGGGCGCCAAGTTCGCGAAGCTCATGTTGAAAGAAGAAGAAGAGCCCTGCCGATTGTTCTTCCTCCTCTTCCTCTCTTTTTCCTCGGCCTCGCTCTCGCGCCTCGTCTGCTCGTCGCGCACGGGATCGGATAGGGCGCGGGCGGCGGGGATCGCGTTGAGGTAGATTGGATACAGGGTGCCAGCTACGTATGCGGAGACGATGACGCAAAAGGCCAGTTTGGGGCTGTATACTTTTAGAGTTGCGAACATGATGGGAGGAAAGACGGCGCCACCGCCAATAGCAGAGGTGAGGAGTGCGGATGCGTCTTTGGTGTGTTTGCCCATGCCGCGGATGCCTTGGGCGAAGATTTGCGGGAAAATAGGGCCTTCGAAGAACATGACCATGGCGATCATGGCGGCGCCCGTCGCGCCCGTCGCATGGATTGCGGCGGCGCCAAAGGCAATGGCGCCCAGGTAAAAGACGAGGAGACTGTAGCGCGGTTTCACCCAAATATCGATGATGGCAGCAAGGAAGCGCGATGCGGCGAAGGCTGTGTGGCCAATGGCTTGATGGGAGACAGTGTCTACCCTCGGTATGATATGACGGAGGTATTCTGCATACGAAGTAGCCGTCGACTCCTGGCCCCCGACGTAGCAGAACTGCGAGAACACGGCCATGCCCAGGCTTATCCAGAGAATCCTGACGGGCCGGGATCCAAGATTGACTGTAGCTTCGCGTGCGCAGGGTACAGTGCGCTCGCTAGCGGCTTCGAGCTGTTCATCTGTGGCCTCTGGGAGCGGCACGTAAAAGTAAACAATAGCGAGGACAATGTTGAAGAACGAGATGCCGAGATACGTCCACTGGACGTCGATGAGGCTCGCTGCGTTGGCGGGAAACAAGACCTTTTTTGCCAACAGCGGAGAGATGATGGTGCCCACAGCTTGTACAGCCTGTGACAAGTTCAATCGTGCCTCGGCATACTCTGGTGGCCCGCAAAGCGCTATAAAAGGGTTTGCGCTGAGTTCGAGCGTCGAGAGTCCTGCGCCAGTGATGAAGTTTGAAATGAGAAACGCGGGAAAAGAATTCAGTACTGCCGAGGGCCAGAAGACGAGGGTCCCACAAGCGTAGACGGATAAACCAACCATGTAGCAAGCCTTGAATCCATACGCCTTGAAGACAAGGCGCCCAAAAGTCAGTGGCCCGACTAGATAGCCGACGTAATAGGCAGAATGCTGGCCCACCGTCTCCCAATCACTGGTACGGGCGACTTCTTGAAACCGCGAATTCAGAACATCCAGAAACCCATAGGCGAAACCCCAAACTGCAAAAAGTATCGTCACCATGATTACAGGGTACACAGACTCTCGGTTGCTTCGCAAGGTAATGTTCTTTTTCTGTCCGGTGTTGACAAAGTCGAAGAAAGTCACCTGTTGGCGTTGAGTGTGGGCAGACGTGGCATTCGTATTTGACGCTGCTAGTCGGGGCAACTCGGTCATATCAGGTGTCGTCAGGAAATCCATCATGGGTATTGGTTCGTCACTGGCACTCCTGCGGGCTGTAGGAGGTTTGCTGAACGGGGATATGGGAGGCGTCAATGGGTCCGAGCGCCTGCGAGAATCGATAATGTCGGGATGGAAGACGAGCTCATCACTCGTATGCGTCGTGGTATCGCGAATAGTGTGATCGATGACCCAGCCAGGCAGAAATCTCCTTACGAGTGGTTTCAAAGCTGGAACGCAGCCACACATGATTCCTAGATTGACCTCGACAGCGCTCCACATGGAGGAAAAGGAAGAAAACCATGCGAAATCACCCGTGTTCCTCTGGTCGTTGCCCGATTCGGATCTTTGCTGTTGAGCAGCCTCAAGAGTGTTGCGCTGGGCTTCTTGAAGGTATGCAATGCGGACCACATCAACTACTGCTACAAATATACCAAAGCCAAACGTGACGACCAGGATCATCTTCTGCTTTTTGGGCAACCGCATGCTCGTGAGGATAGGCATGGGGAGGAACAGGATGGCCAGGTCAGTGATGATGTTGAGCGGAGCCGAGGAGAGGTAGATGGTGACGATGTTGGTACAGTGCGCTGAACTGGGAACCGGCGAAGCCCATGCCGCGCTGACCGGACGGCATTGGAGAATGTTTAGAATCGTCAGAGCCAGGCCACCAACGTTGACAACTACAAGGGTGGCAATGGTAGCCCATCGAAACACTTTGTGGGTTTTGGAGAGTGTCAGGTAAAACAATAGGATAGACGTCTTGGTTGCCATCAGAGCGGGATTCTACGGCGTATCAGCACCAGCAATCTCGCTACGTGGCGTCGTGTACGTACGTATAGCACCGAGAAGACGTAGGACGACTTCTTCATCGGCTCCTGCCACTCTTGCGGTATATTTTTTTGCCTACGACCGAGGCCTTTGGTCGTGCCAAAGCAAATGGAGAAGGACGCACCAAAAGCAATGACCCATGCGACGATCATTATGTAGTCGTCCCATCCAGGCCTTCTAACCACGAAAAACCTCGAGACTAGGCGAAGCCCGACGAACACTGAGCACAAGGCCAGCGTCGCCGCCGACACGCCCATGACCACGGGCCCCCGGGTGGGGAAGTCGCCTGTGGAATCGGCTGTTGCCATTTGATGCGCTGGACAAGACGATGGATGCCGGTGCCATAGGAGAGGCCACGAAAGTCGAGTGCGAAGGGGGGTCCTATCGCGGTCGCGGACGTCTCGGAATCTGATGTTCAGGCCACGGCATTATCTGGCGCCAGCCCCGTTCTCGAGAGGGGGTCTTGGGGTGGTGGTGGTGGTGGTGGGTGATGTCGGAGGAGCAGCAGGTGGCGGATGTGTCGGACGTGTGTAGAGAAGCGCTGGCAACAAACGGTGTGCAGGCCCACGCGAGGATATGGCGTGGACAGGCCAAGTCCCAGCCCCAGGAAAGGCGGAGAATTCAGTTGAAGCGGGCGATGTGGAGTTTGCATTGTTAAATGTGCGCCTTGTCAACGAATTAGGCTGGACGTGGGCCGGTGCGAGAGTCCCCCGATCGTCATTGGGAGGCGCATCAAGGGATCATGCGGAGAGGAGGCGCCACTTCGTCACAGCGCCTGTCCCGCTTGAGGTATCCAACAAATCCCGGCCTTTGCACTGGGCACTTGCTGACCGGTTGCCGATGTTACGGGCGGGCGGCCAGTCAGGCTGAGCCGTGTGCTGTGCGCTCGAATCATCAACATGCCGACTCGGCACCAACGTGTGGCAGAAGTGGACGTTGTAGAGGGATTGAGTTTGGGGCTGGAGGAACATTCACCCAGCACCCATGTCTGGGACCATGACCATGACCGTGGCCAAGGTTGCGGTATGCATCATCGTATATAGCGACATACGTATGTACGATAGGCTGCGTCAGCGTCAGGGCCAGCCGCCCGCTGTGCCTGTGGTTCTCCACCGACCTCCCCAGACGCCTCTCCAACCCTATTCCAGCCGTGCTTGTGGTTGGGTGGCCGCCTGTATACGATCACTGCACGTAATGCTTTTGACCCGGATTGTGGGGAGGCGCTGATCCGTTTGTGTGGATACGGTAAAGTCATGTGTCTTGGGCGAAAGCTGCTGGCTGAGCGCCTAAAAAACTCGAGCGGCATGCGATCATGACTACTGGATGGCCTGACTCTGATGCTTGCCCTGAAAGGCACCCGACAGAGTACCGCCGACATTAGCCCTTGGCCGCCCGTGCGTCGATGCGAGCCGTTCAGCGACGGTAACGTCGAGACGAACGCATACACGGCCGGCAGATGGTGCTCGCCCTCGTCTAGCAGGCGGCTGCCGGTGTCGTGCTGGCGGCGCTGCAAAGTTTAATTGTGAGTAGGGCGCCCCAAGCACGCCATATCGGGCAATGTGTGCAGCAGACGCAGCGCGCCAACGGCCACCATTCTCCGCATTCCACGGTCGGCACGCCCACGGGAAAATCTGTCATGGCCGCTGCTGGAATCAGGGTGTTGTCCAAGACCCACTCGGATCGGCGAAGTCAGCCAAGCCTGCGGCAGAGCAGTGTCAGTGTCAATGTGCTCAACGCAGTGTTCGCGCGGACCAGCAGAGTTTGCACCCTGTTGCATCCGGACTGACTCGAGCAGCCCAGCAGCTCTGGCAGATACATATATGTATCTATGTGCCTCCTTGGTAGCCAGCACAACGTCGTCGTCGGCGAGGTTGCCCATCCATGATGATCATTTCCAACACGATGACGCGTGTCGGAGGCTCGGAGATAGGGGTGGGCACTCTTCAATGCCACTGCCAATGCTGTCCTGAGAATTCAACAAAAGAGGGGAATGCCATGGCCTGGGCATTGGTATCCATGCAAGTAACAAAGGGGCGCACTCGCACTCAAGAAACTGGATGGCATAGGGTGACAAGCAGGAAACTGCTTGATTGTTTGTCCGACCTGCTTGTCCGATTGCCCCAAGCGCTGCGGATCATCGTCGGCCCGAGAGGCCTTGGCGCCCAAGTCAACTTTTCTTCTCTACTTTCTCCACCGCAGACGCACCTCCAAACCACCGCACCCAGCACTTGTCGACACAAGCGCGAGCTCGCCGTACGAATGCGCAGTTTCATGTCCGATTGCCCGTACGGCGCCATTTGTCTCCACACGGCTGGAATGCAGGGTTGCCCTAGATAGTTGCTGTTTGATGGCTCTTTCGAAGACTCGGTGATTCGCTACTCCTCCACGATCACGGGTTCAATTTGTAGCCTAGAAGAAGCCAAACGATCTGCCAAGATCATCCCACTCGTGTTGCAGTGTCAGAGCGAAAGCCAGGACGACTTTGCGTCTTTTGATGGGAGACATGATTTGATTCCGACATGGGTTGTGTCAAGTACAGACGGGACCGCGGCATCGCTACTCAATGCTGCGCCCGTGCAGGCTCGCTGTTCAAGGGCGAGACAATCATAATTCCTTCTTCTCCGCCGTTTTCTGGCTGGCGCTGAATGCCATGGTCTCCTGCTTCTCGCGTTGCTTTTCCGCAGCCACAGGTGTCGGCTTGTGCATGATGAGAACCCATGCTGCAGCCGTCGCCTCGGCAGCAAGCGCAATCATGCTCGCGCATGCAATCCCCCAGACATTTATGCTCACACTGCCCAGCGGCGCGCGCGGGAAGCTGAGAATCCATTCGACGTAGTACGGCACCCAGCCGGCCGGCATCCAGAACATGGGCGACTTTGCGAACCAGAATTGTAGGACGAAGCGGAGGCCTTGCGTCCCGAGCCAGCGAAGGGTCGAGACGGCAGACGTGAAGGTCGACTGGTGCGAGCGCAAGGAGCCATCTGTACAGAGGCGCGTTAGTACACATGCCTTGGATAACATGGCCCGGCGAACATACCCAGTTTCTGATACTCGGCCATGGCCTTGTTGTGCTGCCTGTCCAATTTTGCCCATTTCGAAAAGTTGTCCTGGGGCGACGTGTTGCCCAGCTCGCGCTTCAGCTGTACAATTTCTTTCTTAAGCACCTGGCATCTCTTTGCAGAGACAGAACTAGGTGTGGGCAGTTTGTTGTAAAGCACCCATAGCTGAAGCGGCGTCAGTTCCAGGCCCTCGCATGCTGATCATTGAGTGCGGGGCTTACCAGCTCGTTGACCGTGTTCTTGCCCACCGTGTTGATGATGTGGAGCAGCAGCTGGAGAATAAAGACTACCAGAAGAAGCGACGGCATGTTTGGCAATGGTGGAGGGGAGTCGCAACGTGACGTGCTCTCATCGCATGGCGTTGTGTTCAGATGAGCGAAAGGCGTTATGTCATACGTTGGAGTTTGGTACCTGCAAGCTAGCGGTGGACTGTGCGCCAACATCCTTCTGGCCCTTCACTCCCACACTCCTGACCTGAGCAACTATCAACCCCAGTCAACTCTCAAGCTCGCCAGAAGACTTCATGTACCCGCAATTTGCACGATGGATTCAAAAGTTGCCCAGACATCCGAGCTCCAAAAGCTGGCTTATGCATCGTTGAGCGAGTATTTGCAAAAACATGAGAGCGAAGTCGTGAGTATCGAGATCCTGCCTCCTGGTATGCAGCCACCAGACGGTGTATTGATGCAAGATGGGCTGGCTCTGGGGATTTCAAAGAAAGCGCTCGCTTTGGCTTATGTGGAAGCGCGTGGACAATTCTTCGCAAACAAGCAGAGTAGTGATCCCTCCACGACAAACCAAACAATGCGGGCGACGGAGATTATCCTTCTTTTTGACCCAGAGCATATCACTGCTGCAAACTTTCGTAAGAGCGTGCTCGCTCGACTAGAAGCTGAGCACGGGCTCACGACTGGAAACACTTGTCACAAGGCTTTACGGCGAGAACTTTGTTTTCTAGACAGCATCCTCACATCTCCACTCCACCGCCAATCCAAGTCACCAACTCTGTGGTATCATCGCTCCCGGGTCATAGACGCCCTCATCACCATCGAACTTTCGAATGCATTGGATGATCAAAAGGCAGTCTTTTGGCACAGGGAGCTTGATGCTGTGTGCAAATCCGGGGAGCAGCATCCTAAGAACTACCACGCCTGGCAATATGCCCGTAGAATGGTACAAAAAGCTAGCAGCAGCGAGCTCAATGGCCAGTTCGCTCGTCACGTCAAAGCCTGGTGCTACAGACACCCCAGCGACATATCCGGTTGGTCTTTCCTGTTATATTTAATGCCTCGGTTAGGCACTTCATTGAACCAAGAGCTCGTGAGCGATGTCTTGAATTACGCCATCAAACTCAACATCGAGTCAGAGTCGCTCTGGGTCTTTATACGCACAGCTCTCGCACAAGACATTTCCAACGCCAACCACTCGGAGACCTATCAACGTCTTCAAGCCTATGCCGAGGACTTGCGAAATGACAAGAGATATTCGATGGCATCAGAGACTATAATTGGTGCTATCAAATGGGTCAAAACTCACAGCAAAGATGTGGAATGACTTTCAAGATCGTTTACGATTTATATTCATTTGTTCTTATATTGAGGCTACGAGGACTGCTAGCGCACCCTTCGCATTTGTCCATATATGGCTCTTCTCTCGTCTTTGAGGCGGCTCATTAGTCGCCTTAGACACCTTGAACCCAGCTGTGACGCGTCCCAACAGAAAGTCCAATGGATGTCTCATCGTCCGTACCACTGGACTGGGTCTTTTTGTCCCAACTGCTGTATCCGACTGGACCTCGGATGTTTGTGTGGTTGTGGATTTATTCTTGAGATTGGGCAATCGAGCACCCGACCGCATGGGACGATCCTCCGAAACCAATAGTCTTCGAGTATGGGCCCTTCGAACGATACACTGCGACGCCAGCATGGAATCGGTGAGTGCTCTTCGCAGCATTGGCCGTTGCTTTTCGGAAGCCGATTGGAAAATGGCGCGCCTTCGCTCCAAAGCTCGCAAAGCACGCATTCGGTGTTGCGAACCAGGCTCGTAATGGGCCAGGGCCATGGTCTTGGCCAACAACCGCTTTCTAGACTCGCGATCAAAGCGGAACTGCTTTGTATCGGGTGTCTCGGGATTCGTATACGCTTTTAGGAGGGACCAATCGATCTTGTAGACGTGTCGGATGTTTACGTGTGTGCCCCATTGCAACCGGGCACCGTTTTTTAGCCTCAGCGTCTGAAGCTCCTTTGCTGCCTTTTTCGAGTTCGCATCCGGTGATGCTATTGGCAAATACGTGTTGCGACGGCCGAGGTGGAAGTTTGATCTGTTGTACATGTTGCCAAGGGGTTTGCGCTGCCTCGAGGTGATCTGGGACATGTCAGCTATACCCCCGCATGATCAAGAGCATACTCACAATCTGGAAGTGAACTGTATGGCTGTCCTCGGCAGGCCGCGAAACCACAACAACTGGATGTCCGTAGATGCCTTCGTCAACGCATCTGCCATTTACTCTCTGAACCGCTCCCTGGGGCAGATCCTCCTCCACTGGCAGCCAAATCACCCTGCCCTGCACCACATGGGCCTCCTTTACTGCTGCCTGGTTTGTCGACATTATGCGAGGCTGTGCTGGTTCTTGTGGAGAAACACAATCAACGTTGAAGGTGAGAGATCTTTGCATCGTTGCCTGAGTTGAAGACATGATGATACAAATGCCTGAATCTGGGGATTCGCCCATCTTATACCCACGTCTGCTGACCTCTACTTACGCACACGGTCACGATAAGGTGAGCCGACCACGGTGAGGGCCATTACGTGTGTCCTAGCCTCCACCCCGCAGAAGCCAGCACAAGGCTTCGCCCATTTCAACCAATGGGAGCCATTGCGTACTTTTGCTACGGCTGCTCCACCGGCGTACGGCGGACTGGGCGTAAGGCTGCTCGCGTCACCCGCCTGGCGAGGGCAATAATAGGTGCTTACAACGGTGGCAGTGTTGCAAAGTGGCTAAGCCCGGAGATCCGTGATTGGCCGGGGCGGAAACTCAACTGGCTACCAACCTTAATCTCTCGGCCAAACAATCAAGCTGCTTATACGCGCGGCGTTTTCTGAACAACGCATGGCCCTTGTCAAAAAACAAACAGATTTGCGCCCTAGCTACGCATCCGCCATTTAGCAGAGAGAATGCGTACTGCGGTGATTGCAGTGCGCCTTGCCCCGCCTCCGTTCAAGATAGCACTGCATCATCGCTCCATCATTCTACTGGGAGTGTTGAATATTCGCTCAGTTTGAGTTGAGCGATCAGACATAGCCTGATGGGCAATCACATATTCAGGCATTTACTCATGGAGTACATGCGACATCCCCGCGTTTACAGTCCATGCTGAGCGCTTCAGCCACCGGCATAAGCGACGGCTGCTACCGTGGCGGGCCAGATTTCCCAGCGGCCCGTTTCCTGTCAGCGATCCAAGTGGCCGATGGTCCCAAACTATACAGAAGAAATAATATGCGGCACGTGTCAGACTATGTCTACGATGCTCTCCCAAGACATGGGACGATCCGCATCCTTGTGCTGAGCCCCGCCATCGATTTCCAAGCGCCAATCGAAGCTTATTTCGAGTACGACGACCAAGAATTGTCTCAAAACAACACGACTTCGTCAGCAGGCTTCAATGCAGTGTCATACTGCTGGGGAGAGCCTAGTTTTACGCATAAGATCTTCTTTAAGAGTGGGTCCCTTGGGAGCACGGCGTCATTGGCTATTACCGCAAATGTCGACTGCATGCTTCGGCATTTGCGGAAGCCTTACAAAGAGAGGCGCCTCTGGATCGACGCTATATGTATCAACCAGGCTGACGTGGAGGAGAAGACTGTCCAAGTCCGCCTAATGGGCAACATCTACAGGGCTGCTCTCAAAGTCCATGTCTGGCTGGGCGCCGGGGGCACATTCGACGCGCAAGCAGCTTTCTCGTATCTGAAGCGGCTCGTTGTTACAGACGAGCTAAAGTGGGATTCTTTGTTGAAGTCAACGCAACACCACGAGAGCTATGAGCCTATAAAGATAGCCTTGCAGCAGTTATTCCTCAACCCGTGGTTCGCACGGCGCTGGATCCTGCAGGAAATTGCGCTTGGACACGACATCACGGTGCATTATGGATACCACAAGATTGCGTGGCACTGGTTCTCAAGGGGAATCATACTTCTTCCTGAAGCAGATGTGCGGCACAGTGTGCAGGGCCAGTGGGCAAGCTATCGGCCTTATGTAGCAGCGACCATGGCAATAGGTATTTCATTGAGAGAATCATCTGATCTCCCACATTTGCTTCTGGCGCATGCCTCTGCGAAATGCTACGACCATAGAGATCGCCTGTTCGCTCTTTACGGCATACTGGGCAGGAACAGCAAGTTCCCCAGATCGATATTGGCGAAAGACGATCCGTGGGATCTGCCCATGCCCAACGCAATGCATCTTGAGGTCGACTATACAAAAAGCTGGGTGGAGATTTACAAAGGCCTGGCGGAAATATTAGTTGGCGGACACCATGAGGAGTTTTGGTTTCACTTGCAGACGTTTGGTTCCATTCGTGACCCCGAGCTCGGGGCACCGTCATGGGTGCCGGACTGGAGACAGGAAGACATATCTATATTGCCGCGTTCATTCTACCCGGGATCCGGCAGCGCAATAATATGCCATATGCCTGGCGGCAGTGGACTACGAATTTCCGGGTGGTACTACGGGCATGTGACCAAGGTGTGGGATATTTCGCCACAAAGCCAGTCCAAACCCAATGATATCGTCCCCGATGTTGTGGCTGAGCGACCGTGGCTATCCGGCGACCTAATAAACCAGGTACACGAGCACTTTAGACTTCATCTAGCTCGTCTTTTGTTACTTGCAGCCAGGACTGTCGACCAGAAGCATCGCACGGCGCATGGCTTGACACGCTACTGGTGGGCGGCACTCAATCCCCGGGACCTATGGTCGGAGATGTCTAGAATAACCGACTGGCTAGACGCAAGCCACGATCCCTTTGGCACCAACTGGCCCGACAGTGTCTCGAGTCTTATGAACAGCATCTTCCGCCACAACCGAGTCTTTCGCACCATGCGCGAGAGCCATCGCGGTGCCGCTTCCTATGGAGCGCTGGGGATCACGAGTGCCGAGGTTAGGCTGGGAGATGCAGCGTTTCGCTGTTCTCGACATGACATTGTTAGTCAATGGGCTTCTGAAGAGGATCTATTGCTCATATTGCGACCGACGTCGCAACCAGAGATTGGGAATGCATTTAGACTTGTGGGGTTCTGCTTCATGGCGCAGGATAAGGTGCCTGGGCATCCGCAGTTCTGGGAGGTGTTTCCAGAGGAGAATGCTGTGCTTGTGTGATAGGCAAGAGGTATTTTTAGATTGAGAAGTCTTTGGATAATTAAGTTTTGGTTGTATTCTGAGCTACAGTTGGGAGGAGGATGAGCTGCTAGCGTCTACAATCTATGCATGCTTCGTCATTGCTTGTAAAGCTTATGAGTGTTGGGTGAAACCCTCACCGATGAGCCCCTCAGTATGCTGGTTCTAGCAACAAGTTCGCTATACCAAGACCACATTAGTGATATCTTTACTTGGATGATTCACACGCTGTAATGTCCGTGGAGCAGACGACAGAGTGGTCATCCGCCAAGCGTGTTCCCATTGCTACTAGTTACTAAGCGCTCATATCTCTCAGCTGCGCGCCACAGAGTAATCAAAACACGTTAGTAACGAAGGAGCAAGCAAGGATCTGTCTGGTTGCTCTTAGACTATAATTTCCTATCCAGGATGCTAATCGAGATGCCACAGCAACTTCCCCTCAACATATGTAGTACGTGCATCAAATGCGATGCTTTGAAATGAACGACTGCAGGAAGAGCTTACCTGCTGCAAGGACAACATGTGTAGTCATTCATTATTCACACCCGGAATCAGTAATTTAAAACTACCGCCCTGAACATAAAAACGAATATTCACACCAGTGAAGTCATTCATAGTCAGCAGATACTCCGCCCGACGACTCCCCCCCGCAAACCAGCCCTTCTTTACGAGTCAGACTACAAACTACTTACACAGCCCACATCTTCACCATGTCAGCCCAAACAGCTCAAACCCAATATGTCGACGTCCAAGGCACAAAGCTAGCATACCGCCGTTTCGGCAAGGCGTCTCCAGTCCCCCTGCTATGGGTAACGCATTTCCGGGGGACCATGGACCTGATCGACCCACTGCTTCTCAACAGCATCGCCTCGACGCGCAGCGTGCTCATCTTCGACAACGCGGGGTGCGGGCACAGCGCGGGTACGATCCAGGCGACAATCCAAGAAGCCGGTGCGACCATCGCGGCGTTCCTGTCGGCCATCGGGGTCCCCAAAGTCGACGTAATCGGCTTCTCCATGGGCGGCTTCACCGCACAGGTGCTCGCGCTCGACTACCCGCAGCTCGTGCGTAAACTCGTGCTCGCAGGCACCCAGTCCGCATACACAGACGGCTTCATGCCGCCCGACGCCAGCATCATGAAAGCGGCGAGCCAGCCCTCGCCCGGCGAAGCCAACATGCTCGATCTCTTCTTCTACGCCTCCGAGTCGAGCCGCGCCCTCGGACACGCATGGTGGCAGCGCCTCAGCGAGCGCGCCATCCCCGGCGAGCAGCGCACGCTATTTGTCGACGAAGCAGGCGGCCAAATGCAGAACGCGGCCATTGGCAAATTCGTGTCTGACGCCTCCTTTTTTGCGCGAATCCAGGACATTGAAACTCCTGTGCTGATTACGAATGGCAAAAAGGATATCATGACCCCGACCCCGAATAGCTGGCTTATGCAGCAGCGCATGCGGAATGCCGAGTTGCATGTTTATCCTGACTCGGGACATGGGCATTTGTACCAGTTTCCTGAGCGGTATGCTAAGATGTTGGATTTGTTTCTTGAGGCGTAGGGCGTCCTTGGGGGTGGGTTGGTGTGTGGGGTGAAGGGGAGTGAGTAGCGGATGGTGGGATGAGTAAGTGGGTGAAGCTGGTCTTGGAAGATGTATTCAGCGATATTTTGAAGATATTAGCTGGGTATGTAGCACGATGTATGATTGTGCTTGTTCGTATCGGAATGTTGGATTCATCTGGAATTGGCACTGTGGGATTTGCCATGTTAACGTGTATGTGGTGGATACTATGTGCGTGTGTGTGTGTGTGTGAGAGAGAGAGAGAGAGAGACAAAGAAAGAAAAGAGAAATTACTCCCCAGACTGCTAATTCATACAACTGTGATAAATCCACCAACTCAATGTTCAAGACTACATACAAACAATCATCGCATCCAACTTCAGATTGAAAAAAAAAATATCCCGTGTTTCATTCATTCCCCAGATACAAAGAATCCTATGTATGTACATGAAGAATGGCAAATTAGATGTATAAAGGCAACAAATAAACTAGAGGAGATAGGTATACGCCCTAGCCTCTACTGGGTACCAGGCCACCAAGACATCCCTGGGAACGAAAAAGCAGACGCCCTAGCTAAAGAAGCTACTGAGCTAGACCCTCCTTCTACTAGCAAAACTAGCCTAGCTATTACTAGCTCGCGAATTAAGCAGCTAGGAGAGAGAGAATGGCTAAGCCAACTTGAACAGTATAGGAAAAAAGCCACTAGCAAGAATCCACATACGTACGCAGCAAAATACAAGTGGAAGATAAGAAAGCAAATCGCTATTCCTAGCAATACTAGAAGAGAGATTTCTAGCGCTTTCTACCAACTTAAACTAGGGCACTGTTACTTAAGGGACTACCTATATAAGAGAGGGAAAGTGGATTCTAATAGTTGCCCCTGCAACTATAGGTCTATACAAGACCTACCTTATATTCTATTTAGATGTAATCTATATA